TAAATATATATTTATATGTTAATAATAAAGAGAAATAATCTATATAATCATCATTCACGTTTTTAATATTAAGACAAAATATACCTAATGGACATTTCACTGAAAAGTGTTTTAAATTGTAGTAAAATACACATAACACTTATCATTATAACCATTTCAATGTACAGTTCAGTGACATTAAGTACATTCACATTGTTTTGTAACCATCACCACCACAACCACCATACACCTCCTGAACATTTTTTATCTTTCCCAACTGAAACTCTATATTCATTAAACACTAAGTCCTCATTTTCCCCTCCTTTCATTCCACATACTATCTATAAGTTTTACCATTCTAGGCACCTCATATAAGTGGAACCACACAACATATGCCCTTTTGTGACTGTCTTATTTCGCTTAGCACAGGTTCATCTACATTGTAGCATGTGCTAGAATTTCCTTCTTTTTAAGTTTCAATCATATTACAATGCATGCATGTGTGTATACACACACACACACACACATACTCATATACATACACACTTTGTTTATCCATTTATCTGATGGACATTTGGGTTGTTTCTACCTTCTGGCTATTGTGAATAATAGTGCTATAAACATGAGTGTACACATATCTGTTCAAGGCCCTGCTTTCATTTCATTTGGGTATATACCCAGAGGTCTAATTGCTAGATAACCTGGTAATTTTGTGTCTCACTTTTTAAGGAACAATTGTTTTTGTTTGTTTTCATTTTTTTATAACAGTTGCATAACATTACATTGTAAGCAGCAATGTACAATAATTTAATTTTTCACATCTACGCCAACATTTATTTTCTTTTAATTAATATTTTTAATAATAATCATCCTAATGGATATAGACTTGTATCTCACTGTGATTTTGCTTTGCATTTCTTTGTCAATTAATGATGTTTAAATTTTTTTCAAGTGCTTATTGGCCATCTCTATATATTCTACGGAAATGTGTGTTCAAGTCTTTTGAGCATTTTTAAATCATTTTATTATTGTTATCACTGATTTTTAGCAATTCTTTATATATTCTGGCTATTAAATTCTTATAACATATTTGATTTTCAAATATTTTCTGCTGTTTTAGGGTTTCTTTTTTACTCTGTTGATAGTATACTGTGATGCACAAAAGTTTAATTTTGATAAATTGTAATTTATCTATTTTTACCTTTTTGCCTGTGATTTTGATGTACTAGCCAATATAGCTTTGCCAAATCCAGTGCCATGAAACTTTTCACTTGTTTTTTTCCTAAGAATTTTATAGTCTTATTTCTTACATATAGGTAATTGATTCATTTTGCATAATTTTAGTATTCTGCAAGATAAAAGTCTAACTTCTTTTGCACTTTTTTTCCAGTTTTGCAGCATCATTTGTTGAAAAGACTGTACTTTTCCATTGGATGGTCTTGGCATTTATAAAGATCATTTTATCATATATGTGAGCATTTATTTCTGGACTCTATTCTATTTCATTGATCAATATGTCTGTCTTTCTTCCAGTCCCACGCTGGTTTGATCACCATGGTATTCTACTATATTTTGAAATCAGAAAATGTGAGATCTCCAAGTTTGCTATTCTTTTTTAAGATTGTTTTGGCTACTTAAGGTCCCTTGAGATTTCATATCAAATTTAAATTGGGTTTTGGATATTTCTATTTCAGAAAAATTGTATATCATTGAAACATCAGTAGAGATTGCACTGATTGCAAGATCACTTTGGATATTATTGACCTTCTAACAATATTAAATTTTTTAATCCATGAATGCATCTTTTCATTTATTTGCATCTTCTTTTATTTATTTCAGCTTTTTTTTTTTTTGACAGTCTTACTTTTTCACTCAGGCTGAAGTGGAGTGCCATGATCTTGGCTCACTGCAACCTCTGTCCTCCAGGGCTGAAGTGATTCTCCTGCCTCAGCCTCCTGAGTAGCTGGGATTACGGGTGTCTGCTACCACACTTGGCTAATTTTTGTATTTTCAGTAAAGTTGGGGTTTCACCATGTTGGCCAGGCTGGTATCATACTCCTGACCTCAGGTGATTCACCCTCCTCTATCTCCCAAAGCGCTAGGATTACAGGTATGAGTCACCATGTCTGTCCTCAGCAATATTTTATAGTTAGTTTATAAGTATTTCACTTATTTAAGTTTATTCTTATTTTATTCTTTTTGATACAATTGTAAATAACATTATTCTCTTACTTTACCTTTCCAGATTGTTTATGATTAGCACATAGAAATGCAACTGACTTTTGCAGGTTGATTTTGTTTATTCTATCAGGCAATTCCTGTTTGTCTTTCTTCTTTCAATGTGTACATAGAATATTTGTGAGTTTTTACTTCTAAGGTAATGTCATTTGTGAACAGATATAATTTTAGTTCTTCTTTTCAAATTTGGATGCCTTTTCTTTCTTTTTCTTGTGTAATTGCTCTGGCTAGGACTTCTAGTACTTTGTTTAATATGAGCAGTGAACGCAGGAATTTTTGCCTTGTTCCTGATCTTAAAGAATAAGCTTTTTAATATTTTGCCATTGAGTATGGTATTTCCTGTGAGTGTTTCACATATGGCCTTTATTATATTGAGGGTATTAGTGGCTTTTAATTGTTTCTTTTGTAATAATTAAAATCAGATAACTATGAGGGCAATGCTATACCATTGTTTTAAGTAAACAAATTACTGAAACCTCTAACTCTGTGTTATTATGAAAGGGACCTACATTAGTCAGAGTCTAACCACACAACTAAAAGCACTTGAATAATTAGCGTTTGGCATCCTTTTTACAGATAATTATGTACACAAATTATAGAATTGCTGAAAAGCCAAATATTTGTCTGTGAAGATTTTCAGAAATTAGAAGAAAATAAATGATTCTAATGTGGCTCTAGGGCAGTGAAATAGAAAAGCACCAGTAGTGTAATCATAAATCATTAAAAAATGTAAGTCTCTCAGTGGAAACTGAAAACATAGCAGTCTCCTCTGGAAGGATCTGGAGCCATGGACTAAATGCAGTTGAAGAAAGTAAAACATTAGGAAAAATACCCTGACATCATTTTCATCTTCTCTAATATTTTTTAATGTACTTAAAATCTACTTTGTTGGCCAATTATCAGTATGTAATACAACATTACTAACTAAAAATAATGAATTACCAATTTAAAATCTAGTATTCTTAGGACTTTTTCAAAATAATTGTTTATATTTTCCAAGCCACCCATTCTGATAACTGATATCTGTGAGCCAATGATTTTTATAAAAGTTTAAATAAAATTGGCTGGACGTGGTGGCTCATGCCTGTAATCCCAGCATTTTGGGAGGCCGATGCAAGAAGATAATCTGAGATCAGGAGTTCAAGACCAGCTTGGCCAATATGGTTAAACTCTCTCTCTACTAAAAATACAAAAACCAGCTGGAGGCGGGGCGCTTACAACACCTGCATGTACTTAAGTCCGAGAAGTACAAGAAATAAAGTATCTCAAGACACCTGGAGCCTAGAGACTATCTCTTACTGGTTTCTATGCTCAGAGTTCAGGTGGTAAAGAACAACAAGATTGAATCCCTTTAAGACATCATATTTTGCCTGGAAAGACTGGGAAAGATTGCTGAAACTGTTTATAATGTTTGCAACCAAATAGCATTCTCATGAGACACTATAGAGAGAGAGAGAAAAAAAAAAAATAAGAGAGAGAGTGTGTGTGTGTTCCTTACAGGCCTTTTGTCCCCTGGGATAAGAAGTATTAGGGCACCTATTATACTTATAGCAATTATTCAGTTGAGTCTCTAGCTGTGAAGCAAGACTATCTAGTTATACAGGTAAGATTAAACAGGTTATAGGCAGTAGAGAGAAGTTTAATTTGGGAGAGAAGAAGTCAGTGCTTCCATGAAAAAAGAATGTTAAAGCCTAGGATGGAGGCTGTAAGTCAAATCCTAATGAGTGAATTCTCAGCCCTCCTTGTTGTCTGAAAGGGGTTCAACCTTTTGACTTTACAAAAAGTAACACAGAAGAAGACTAATTCAATATTCAAGCTGAGATTTATCTCATTATTGGATTTAGTCATGATATATCTTGGTCAAAACTATATTTGTCTTTTTATACAGTTTTATTCAAACAAAAAGGATGCCTCATATTACATAGGCTCCTCATATTAATATATCAATATTTCAAGCAAAATAACTATTTTACTGTACATCTTAAGTTTACTTGGATAACAAAAATCAAGTCAAGCACATTGTGTGACTTTGAGGAATGCATTGCGTACATTCTGAGTCTGATTTATCATTTAGAAGAGAACACAAATATATAGTAACATGAATACTCATGTTTCCTAGATTTAGACATTTACTCTATTAGATTATTCTTTGTAAAATGATAATTTCTTACTATTGAGTTTCTCTGATTTTATGAAGAATAAGGTACTTTCTTCATTAACTCAATGATTTGCCTTCCATTATAGCACCTATTTTGTTTACACCTCCTCCTTCTGAAATCTCAACTAATTGTCCTAGTTGCTTTTCAGTATTTCCTAAGTCTCCTGTTCCTCCATTCTATGTGCACTATCATTGATAATAGACAAGAAAGGTTAACTATACAAATGGCATGGTAGTTGTTCTTTTTCTTTTTTCACTGTCTCAGATGGTAGAAAATTATATCTCTATATTTATCAATATATCAATTGCTATCTCTGTAATACTACTAAAATGTATCCAGCCAGCTGGACAATAACTCTTGAAAAAAATCACAAATATATATGTAATATATACTCACATAGAGTACTTTTCTGCCAATTATTCTTACCCAAAAAATCATACTCACATGCATTTGATTCATTGAAAGATGGTATTACTGAGAACATTATTCCATAGCCTACTCTATGTAATTGAATGTACACATCTTTGCCAGCCCATAATAATAATAAAATGTTTGGTATTCACATATCTATAATCTTTGTGATTTTTAATTCAACAGAACCATGGACTATCCATTGCTTACATAATGTTAGCTTTCAACAGGACCAATCTTCAACCTGTCGTCTTCCTTCTACTTGGCATTCCAGGGTTGGAAACTGCCCACAAATGGATCTCTGTCCCTTTCTGCCTGGTCTACATATTGTCACTGATGGGAAATACCACTCTTTTGTTAATTGTCAAGACAGATCCAAAACTGCATGAACCCATGTACCTCTTTCTATGTATGCTCTCTGTAGCTGATTTGATGCTTACTTCTACTACACTTCCGAAGATACTGAGCCTCTTCTGGTTCAATGACAGAGAGATCTACTTTGAAGGCTGCCTCACTCAAATGTATCTTATCCACTCTCTGTCTACCATGGAATCTGGATTTATCTTGGCCATGGCTTTTGACCGCTATGTGGCCATCTGTCACCCAATGAGACATTCCATTATCCTAACACCAACAGTGATTGTAGACTTAGGTTTGGTTATTGTCTTCAGAGGAGCTGTACTCCTCAGTCCACATCCCTTCTTACTCAGGTGGCTTTCCTACGGCAGAACAAATGTCATCTCCCATACCTACTGTGAGTTCATGGCCCTAATAAAGCTAGTTTGTACTGAAACCAAGATTCATAGAGCTTACAGCCTAATCATAGCATTCCTGACGGGAGGACTGGACTTCATATTGATCATCTGTTCCTATACCCTTATTCTTCTAACTGTCTTCAACCTCCCATCCAAAGCTGCTCGCCACAAGACCTTAAGCACCTGTGTCTCCCATGTATGGGTCATCCTGGTATTTTATACACCAGCCTTTTTCTCTTTTCTTACTCATAGGTTTGGCCACCACATTCCTCCACATATCCACATTTTTATAGCTAATATATATCTTCTTATCCCACCCATGATGAATCCTATTATTTATGGTGTTAAAACTAAAAGGATCAGGGAGAGAGTCTTTAAATTCTTAACAGTAAAAGGTTTCTGACTTTGCAAGGATATTTGATTCTCCAGGTCATCAAAAAAGAGAGGGGTTTACAGAGAACATTTAAAATAAATCAGCACTCCCTTAAAGTTTAACTTTTCAGTGAAAGTTCTGGTTCATATAGGCTGTTAAATCTTGTTAAGTATATTGACTTCAGTGAGCAGTAATGAATACGGAAGATGCATAGAAGGCAGAAACATTTTAAAGCAAAATTCTAAATCATTATTCATGTTTCTAATCCTAATTTTCTTGTAGACTTCACAACTTCTTAAGGTATAACTAATTTATATTTAAATAATTTTTAGTTTTATAAAGTCTAATTCACCTTATTTTCTTTCATGAATAATTTTTATGTCATATCTAAGAAATACATTGCATGAATTTGGGTTAAGAAGATTTTCTCCTAAAAATTCTGCTAAAACTTTTAGGTTAGTTAAGGTGTAAAGTGTTGGTTCAGGTTCATCTAGGGCAGATCACGAGGCCAAGAGATCGAGACCATCCTGGCCAACATGGTAAAATCCCGTCTCTACTAAAAATACAAAAAAAATTGGCTGGGCGTGGCGGCACATGCCTGTAGTCCCAGCTACTCAGGAGGCTGAGGCAGGAGAATTGCTTGAACCCGGGAGGTGGAGATTGCAGTGAGCCGAGGTCGCGCCACTGCATTCCAGCATGGCACCTGGTGACAGAGTGAGACTCTGTCTCAAAAAAAAAAAAAAAAAAAAAAAAAAGAATAACCAGAAATTTATGATTGTGAATTTGAGCCTTAAGTCAGATGATATACCTTAATAATTCTGAACATAATTGAATCTTATTTCCCTGTTTTATAGTAAAATGTTTTAATGTTTACTCTGCTTTCCTGAATCAAATATACATTTTTGAAAAGCAACATAATACCTATGAAAGGAATAAAAATATTTTAGCCCAAAATATATTTATTTGACATATTCTAAAGCGGCTCTGAAAAGCTGTCTTTTGTGGGAACATTTGTATCTGTAGATGTATAGAGAATCTGCATTAATACAGGTGCCTCTTCCCTTTTTGGGCTAACTGAGAATCCGATACCTTTAAAGTTCTGAAAAGAAACATTTGTCTTCTAATCTCCCTGAGGGCTGCTACCTATGAGTTTTCATCTACATAACAACCTGTGCTAGCTAAGACTCTTCTCCCTGTCCTATAACCTGCCTTGCCATTAACACTTGATTCACTAACATAACCTCTTTTGTGCCATACTCTACATGTTCATTCTCTCTGCAACCTCAAGGTGGTGTATAACCTTCTGTACCTCATTGAGAGGGTTGGATGTGAATTCTGAAAGCTCCTGTGTATATATGTTAAATAAATTCATATGCCTTTTCTCCAATTAATTAATCTGCCTTGTTAGTGATTTTCAGTGTTTATATTGATAATCAACTTTTGTGTTTTCACTCTTCATATTATGTTATAGTTCCCATGACAGAAGGTTAGACACAAGACCTTGAGCACATGTGGTGTTTATGTTTGAACCATCTTACTGTTATACATATTTGACTTTTTCTCCTTTATCACTGACAGATTTGGTTATAAAATTGTTCCACATATCCACATCATTATAGCCAACATTACTTTGTTATCTTTCTTATGTTGAGCCCTATCACCTATAATGTGAAAAACAAAAATATTCAAGAGAGGACGTCTGTACTTCATATATGTTTGAGCCTGTGTATTTGTTTGCTTGTTTGTTTTTTAATTAACCAGCTCATTCAGCAAGACAGGTGATAACCGTGGAACTATGACCTTGTTTATATTCAGGTAAATCAACATTACCTAAGAAGACAGAAACTTTCCAGGTAAACATGAGGTTCACATCAACTCCATAAAACAAAAATAAAAAAGGCATAGTTAATATGTGGAATAAAGTCAGTCCTGGCAAATGGAAGATATACAATATTTTGTTAGTGGCATTGCTTTTTTCAGTACAGGGTGATTTCTTCATTTGTGTTTGCCCAGCACCTAAAGTTGAGTTAAAAACACATCAACCAAATATGAATTCTTTTTTTAAAAACTCATGTTCACTTATTCCATTATTTTTTGGTAGGCACAGACATGTTGGCCTGGAGTGACTGATATGCAAGTGTCAATACAAGTTTGTTGAGATGCAACATTTTTTCTTTGCTTGTAAACAGTTAATATTCTAGTAACTAAAAATAGAAAAGTAATTGAGGACAAAGCCTATATCTGAAAATCTTAGATATTCTTCCATTTGAAAGAAAGTGGGACCAAGATTGAGGTTTAGCTTATTATATAGACTTTATTTTTATTTTAAAGAAAATTAAGATTATGGTACTAATGTAGGAGTTTTATATAATTTAGTATGTACCACAGCAGGAATTTAGAAGATGTTTTGCCTCAAGAATAATATATACATATTTTAAATTTTAATTAGAAAAAGAAACATAAAAAGAAGAAAGAGCAGAAAAAGAATAGTTGTTAGCTAAAAATATAATCACAGCTTTCCCATTAAATAAGAATGTTCTTTTTCATAGTAACTATTAAATAATTAATTAATTTTAATAAGGAATGCAGAACATGTTATGTTGCTTCATAAGGTACAGATCATCTTAATCCCTCCACAATGACTATTTTATTGTGATTGCACCATAGAAGTATTTGTTTTAAAAATTTGAACACTGAAAAATGTCAAATGAAGAAAGAAAGAAAAAAAAAAAACTTGTACATCTGCTAAAACTCTCTTTGCAAAATATGACACTGAAAGAGATCTTATCTAACCAACTCCTTTGCTTCTAACCTCCAATCTGTACTTGTTCATTCCTGGGTGTAGGCCAAACTAACTTTGGGGGAAACTTAGTTTATACTTTAATTTTGAAACAAAGATGATAACAGCCCTTTTCCAGGACAAATCCCCTTCTTGCCCTGGGAACAGACTGCCTTTGTAGAATTAACAAATTTCCACAAAATTAGAAATTTTGTTTTAGGATACATGCAGCTAAATCACAAGATTCTAAACCTCCTTAATTACTCCTAGTGATAACATCACTATTGTAAAGCCTAAGATATTTTTCAGACCACGCAGTCAATGGATCAGCTGGCACCACTCAGATCGACAAACTATGTCATCTGGTCATGTGGGTTCCACCCAGGGATCAACTCAGCGCAAGAGGACAGTGTTGACTCCCTATAATTTCATTTCTTACCAATCAATAGTCACTCCCAACAGCCTGGGCCTTTACTCACCAAATTATCCAAGCTCTAGCTGGCTCCGCATGAATTAACTTTCTCTATTTCAATTCCTCTGTCTTGATAAATCAACTCTATCTGGACAGTAGGCAAAACGAATCCATTGAGAAGTTACACCACTGTATTGACAGAAAATAAATGCAATCAGCATTTTGTGAGACTTACTTTCACAAAACTATGAATTATTTTATATGTGAATTACATAAATCTCAATAAATGTGAAGAGTATATTTATTGTTTACTTAATTTCATTAAGCATTTACATAGTTTTTAGTCTCCTCCCTTCCTTATATATTCTTAAATGCCTCTCTCAAGTTAGCCTCTATGACCAACTTGTCTATCCTTTCTTACCTTTCACCATTCTATTAGTTTGCACTTGAAAGAAAATATTAGGAAAAGGAGAGTATAGGAGGTTTTACGATTTGCTTAAATTCAACATATATTTTAAATAGGATTACATATTGTGCAGTGCTCAAACTTTTAACCATGAATAACTTATGGATGACTCCAGTACCAGTATATTACCTTTCTTGATTGCCATAAAACATTCCATGGTATGAGTAATTGGATCTTATTTCACTCATTTTGTACTTCTAAGACTTCAACTTATTTTTAAATTTTTATTGTTCTATTTATTTATTTTAATGAATTTTTACCATCGTTACAGGTTCACAGCAGAACTGAGCAGAAAGTATTGTCCCGTATGCTCCATGACCTCACATAGACAGTCCTCCAACTATCACGTCCCACATCAGGGTGGCATATTTGTTACAATCAGTGTTCCTACACTGGCACATGGTTATCATCAAAGTCTGTAGTTTACATTATGGTTCAGTCTTGATGTTCTTTCTAAGGTTTTGACAAATGTACAATGGCATATATCCACCATTACACTATCATATAATATATTTTCATTGCCCTAAATATTTTATGTGGTCCTTCTTTCTACTTATAGCTCCTTCCTCTCTAGTCCCTGAAAACCACTTTTTATTGTCTCTATAATTTTGCCTTCTTCAGAATGCCGTATAGTTGGTGTTGTTGCTTCTGTCATTTAGCAAGATGTATTTAAGTTTCCTCCATATATTTTCGCAGTTTGATAGCTTGTTTTTTCTTTTTAGCAGTCAGTAATATTCTATTGTATGGATGAACCAGAGATTATTTATCCATTCAATTATGGAAAAGTATTTTGTTGCTTCGAAATTTGAAAATTATGAATAAAGTTGCTGTAAACATTTGTGTGCAGGATATTGTATGGGCATAAGTGTTCAATTCAGTTGAGTTCAATTGCTGGATTGCCTAGTGCAAGTACATTTAGTTTTGTAAGATAGTGATAAACTGTTTTCCAGAGTGGCAGTACTAATTTGCATTCTCACCAGCAAAGAATGAGAATTCCTGTGTTCCACATGCTCACTAGCATTTGGAATGGCCAATGTTTTGGAGTATTGCCATTCTAAAAGATAAGTCCTGTTATTTTGTCATTTTAATTTGCAATCCCCTAGTCAATTATAGTGTTGAACATCTTTTAGTTTGCCAGTATTTTATTAAGGATTTTCACATTGATGTTCATCATGGATATTGGCCTGAAATTTTTTTTTTTTAGTTGTGTCTCTGCCAGGTTTTGGCATGAAGATGATGTTGGTCTCATAAAATGAGTTAGGGAGGATTCCCTCTTTTTCTATGGTTTTGAATAGTTTCAGAAGGAATGGTACCAGCTCCTCTTTATACCTCTCATAGAGTTTGGCTATGAACCATTCTGGTCCTGGATGTTT